TCAGATTTGTGTGAACAATACATGAGATTGATGGTGGCCATTCCTGAAATGGGCTCTATGTGATCCTAGGGAAGAAACACTGGTGCTAGGACTGAGAAGCCATTTTAAGGGCCTATAATGAACTAAGGCTAGAATTTTTCATCAGATTAGCTGGGCAGTGGGCATTTGCCTTACAAGGAATTACAAGCATTTGGCAGGCACTTTAAAGATGTTTTGTGTTCCTGTGGCCATGTCTAAGCAGGCTTAAACACGCGGGAGCTTAAAAGTAATTTTAATAGATTTTTAATAGAGATAGCATCTAATTTAGAACACAGTGACAAGTAGCTCTAAGACGGAATGATGGCAATAAGACTTTGTAGGGAGGAGTCTCGATGCTTCTTAACTGATAAGACAGTGAGTGAGTTATTACTCCAGAGGGGTGCTCACATTCGCCTGTGATTCCCGAAGCCCCACACACGGGTCACTTGGCACCTGTCACCTGGTGCTTGACGATGTGAGGATTCACGGGTGCACCTGTGCTTGCAGGTTCAGTGTTTCTGGAAGCAGCACCCTGAAAGCTACATTTTAAAGAAACATCCCCGATTACCTAGGCACAAACTGCTGAGTGGCACTATCTACATGGGCAGGGAGTTCAAGGGCAACAGGGAGGGAAGTTGTCCTTCACAAGTCAGCCATCACCCGAAGTCACACGGGTCTCATGTTTTTTGTTTGTTTGTTTGTTTTTTGGTACCAGGGATCGAACTTGGGACCTTGCAATTGTGAGGCAGGCGGTGGAACCACTAAGCGAGATCCCTGGCCCCTCAATGTTTGTTTCATAATCATTCCTTCAGTATCTGGTGTGGTGATCTTACAAAGTTGAAAATGCAGACATTTTTGTTTTGTTTTGAGGTACTGGGAATTAAATCCAGGACGGCACAAATGCTCGGCAAGAGTCTTACGACTCTGCTACAACTCTAGCCCATGGAAATACAGGAGTTTTAAGTGAAGGAAAAGGTCACACAGTCTGAGGCTATGTGACTGGAGTGACGGAAGACTGATGCCACCGCCAGCATCTGGAGCAGCTACAGAAACCGGACAGAGCCTTGCTGAGGAAAAGACAGTGGAAGATGAGAATCTGGCAAGAAGACAGACGAAGGTTCCAGGCAGAGGGGAGAGGATGCTGGAGGACGAGCAGGCTGAGGCACTTGGCTGAGAGGAGACTGGCAGAGACAAAGCTGGAGAATCAGACAGGGACCAGACAAGGCAGGCCTCTGGCCACGTAAGGATCAGGGTCTTAAAGAACTAACATCTAGAATATAGAAAGAACTCAGAAAAGCAGACCCCTCAAATTTAAAGACTCAATCCAAAAATGGGCATTTGAAATAAACAGACACTTCTCAGATGAAGACGTAGAAAGGGCAAACAAATATATGAAAAATGTTCAACATCACTGGCCAATCCAGAGGTGCAAATTAAAACAACAATGCTGAGATTCCACCTCACCCCAGAAAGATTGGCCGCTATCAAGATTTCAACCAATAAGAAATGCTGGTGGGGCTGTGAGGTATAAGGAGCCCTTCTCTACTGTTGGTGGGAGTACAGACTGCTGCAACCACTGTGGAAATCAGTGTGGAGATTCCTCAAAAAACTAAAATTAGAGGTTCCATTTGACCCAGCTATTCCCCTTCTTGGTATCTTCCTGAAAGAACTGAAAGCATCAAACCACAGTGATATATGTGCACCTGTGTTTATAGCAGCACAGTTTACAATAGCTAAATCTTGGAAACAGCCCAAATGCCCACCAGCTGATAAGTGGATAAAGATGTGGTTTTTATATAATGGAGTACTACTCTGCCCTAAAAAGGATCATCTTGAGACATATCTAGCTAAATGGATGCACCTTGAGACCATTTAAGTGAAATAAATCAGACACGCATGTACATGTAGACACTCACTATTCCTCGGGTGGGAGAATCCAAAACTGTAAATCAGGACCAAACCGTACAATGGATATTGGGAAGAAAACACTCCTATGAAAGGAGGAAAAAGGGAAGGGGGTATAGGAAAGGAAGGGACAGGGAAAAAAAGAGAGAGAGAATACAAGGGAAAAATGGAAACAGCCTTTGAAAACGAGGGGAAAAGGGATTGGAGGGAGGGAAAGGAAAAAAAAAACCAGCAAGATATATCATGCACAGGTGCAAGCTCCCTATTAGGACGCATGTGGTCATTATGTGTATCTAAAACGTACCAGCAAACACAGAAAAATGTAAAAGTGGAAAGAGAGAGAGAGAGAGAGAGAGAGAGAAACAAGGTCTTCATCGAAAGTAACGGGAGAGCCCTGGAAGTTTACGGGGGGTCATATAAAGTCAAACAAACTTCTAAATGCACACTGCACAGCTCGCTCCTGGGAGGTTCTGGGGGTGGGCACAGGCTCGAGCATGAATTATAAAGTGTCTGCAGAGGAGCTGACCGGAAGCCACGCTGGGAACGACTACCCGGGCATGAGCTGCCCCTGGGATTCTCTGGGGGGGGGGCTTCAGTGTCGCTGCGGTGTAAGAGGGACACACATGTTCCTCACGTTGCTCTTTTACTCTTGGCCACGTTATGTCAGCTCTTGGACCATGGGAGAGACCAGCTCGGCACTCCTCTGGGCACAGCCTGGCATTCGGGAGAGGGACTGGGCCAAGTCAGGGGGTGGTGCAGAGCCACTCCCTGTGCCTGCCCATGTCCCTGGCCTGAGGCCCACCTGGCGCACCTGCGCTGTTTCCTCCAAGCCCCGGCTCTGGCAGCAGAGCTCCCTGGGGCGCCTCCCCTGCCTGCCTCGCTCTCCTGACATCGTTAGTTTCCAGTAACTGAAGCCACCTCTTCTCCTCTGCATGTGTTTCTGGGACAGCAAACTGTCTCTCTCACTGTCCTCAAAGTACATTAAAAGAAAAAAAAGTAGAGACTGGCAACCAAATTTAGTAAATTAAAGATGATGCAAGGAAATCACACGAAAACCTGAGTGGGAAATCACATTTAGGTGAGCAGTGAGTAAAGGAGAATGTAATTTGGTAGGAGGATCACTATCTTATTTCAGCAAGTCACTGCATGTTTAACCTAGGAATATCAAAGACATCCGCTATCCATTGTTTTGCTCCTAAAAACTAAAGCAATACGGCTGAGAATCCCTAACCCAAACACCCAGGATCCGAAATGCTGCAAAACTGGAAACTTTCTGAGGGGTCTAGGACCATTTCAGATTAGGGATGTTCTATGGTTAAAGAACATAAAAACACTCCTAAGTCCAACAAAGTCCCAAATCTGAAAAGCTTCCGGTCCCACGTGCTGTGAATAAGGGATATGCAATCTGTACTATGAAGAAAATAAGTAAGTCATGCCTCTTTTAATAACATTAATAGAAATAACATTTCTTAAGGGATTATTACTTCTTAGTCACTCTTCTAAGGGCTTTACATACACTTTACTCTTCACTGCATATAATCCTGATACACTGAGATCCAAAGCCAAGAGCTCCTGCATCGTTCCAGGTCACACTCTTGGAAGACAGGGAAGGTGCGAGGCAGAACCAGGTAAGAGTCCTGTGCTGCTACTCAGCATGCTGTGCTGCTCCTCTCTGGAGGAAAGGAAAAAAAGGCCCCGTGATGCCCCTGTCAGGCTGGACCTAGACTGTGAGCTCCATGGGTCTGCGGGACAGAAATACCTAATCTTAAACCCTACGTTCAGAGACCAGATGGCCACGCTTGAAGGGTGACAGAAACCAAAGTGTTCACCCTGCATGGAGTGAGGAAGCTGGGGAGCACCCATCTTTGCATCTCTCACCGGCGGTGTATCTTTAACCACAGGGAAGGAGCAAACAGAAAAGGTTTGCATCACTGCCAGCCTGCTTTCCGGGAAATGCCACTGGAGGAAAGTTTCTACAAGAAATAAGAACCATGCCTGAACAGCATCAGAAAATGCTCAGTAAATGTTTTTTTTTTAATGTTAGTAATAATTTACTTTTAGAGTTTTACTTTTCCACCAGGAATATGGAAGGCTTGGATGAATTTGAGATGACTTGCTAACTCTGGGTTTTAGGGGATGGCATTCTTTTTAATGAAACAGAACACTCCTAATCCTCTTCATCTTCTCCTTCTGGCCCCGCGGTGTCCTGCTGATTTACCCCGGGCGGAAGTGACTCCCCATTTCTTGGCTCTGTGGGAAGACACGGGAAGAGCAGAGTCCCACGGAACTGCAGGGGAGCCCTCCTGGCAGCCCTCTCACACTTCCATAGTTTGACGTGGACCACAGGGGTCAAGACGCAATAAAAGCCACGAAATGAGTTGCTGTTTTTGACTCTGAACCCTCAAGAACAAGGGCCAGGGTTTCTACATAGCGGGATCGAGACTTCTCTTGCTATGATGATGAGTACAGCCCTACACTGGGTCTCACCCCGGCTGCCGACAGGGTCCTCCTATAAGTTGTAGCGAGAACTGTGAGATCACTGACACAGACACACACACCACTGCAAGTGAAGTACTGTCCTCTGTGTCACATGTTCAGGGTCTCCTGAAAAGAAAGCCATGGACAGCACCGGGAAACAAGTAGAAGGCTTTTTTTTTAACCTCCTCAAGACATCATTTCCAGCCCTGAATTAGACTCAAGTTAAAGTTAAACTCTTATTTTTGGTGAGACAAGCTTTCATGTTGCCCAGGCTGGCCTTGAACTCCTGGGCTCCAGCAGTGTGATCTTCCTGCCTCAGCCTCCCGAGTAGCTGGGACTACAGATGCGCTTGACCACAGCCAGTTTCTCTGTTTATAGGAGACCAACAAGAAAGCAGAAAGGCTCTCGATACCGTGGAAACAGGAGCCAGGATGGATGGTGAGGCTTTCAGGTACTGATCTCCACCATCGTTTCACATCGTGTCAAATGCTTTTTCAACAGCACACAGGAAACACAGCCATGGAGCCCAAACAGCGAAGATGGACAACCTTTGCCATCACAGTGTTTCTAAGCAACGGGAAGACTGCCACCTCCATTACCTGACTTCAGGAGACGAAGAGCTTTCATTTGCGTCTGTCCTCTTGTTTCTTGGAAATGTTGGGTTGGCTGGAGGCATCTCACCACTTAAGCGATCTGGGAAAATGCGGTCTTTATTCAAATTGATATCTGAATAGGGACAGCTGGCAGCACTGATGAATTAAAAGAAAAAGAAAAGGACATCTGCATTAGGCCGTTGCTACTGCTCTCGATGAAAATGACGGGCTACAGAATATAAAATTCCACAGTTGAACCGAGTACATGTTACATAAATCTCTATACGTGTGCATACATGATTCAAACATTCACATGTGCATTTGATCCATAAAACATCATTTCAGTATATTCTGCCTGGAATTGGATCTTCACACTCGATTTGACGAAGCGATCTGTGGCAGGCCCTGAACTGAGCAGCGGTTATGGGAGGGCTCCCTTGGGGGTGTTCAAGGGCAGGACCTGTGCGTACGTCTGGATGATCAGCACCGCAGAGAGAAGGCTTAAGACACGTGTGAGGGATTCAGGCTGGGGACCAACCGGGCAGATGAGCTTCCCAGGTGGAGCCCAGCCCAGTGCAGTCCCACTGTTCAGTTCCTGTCACAAGCCCTGCCCACCTAGAAGGAGGGTCGGCCACGGAGTATCCCCATCTCCAGGTCTGCACCGATGTCCCACAAAACACCCCTGCGATTTAATGTGGAAAGGGACGGGGGCACCCTGGACAATGGCCAGGAGTCCTTGTGTCCACATGCTGGTCTCTAACGTCTGTGTGGAAACCACTCTGGTTATGAGCAGGGGAAATCAAGGTCAGCGGATATGGGTGCAGCATTTGTCAGTGGCCATCCGGGCCTGGCCTTGGCACTGCAGACTCCAGAACAACTGTGCAGCCCCCACGCATCAGGCACGGGTACACACATTGCTCTCCAACCAACCGCTTGTTTTGTCCTTCTATTTCCAGGAAGCCTTTCTGAATCTGCAGCTGGTTGAGACCTTAGATATACATATGCCTTAGTGCTCTGCAGGTAGGTGATGCAGTAAGACTGTCACACAGGGCCAGTTTTTAAACCTTGCCAATCTATCATCCACCAGGTGAATCTGATAACACGCTCCTGGGAGAAAGAGGGGAAAGTTTGAGAACAGGCTTGGGTAATTCTAACAATGGCCTACAGGATTCATCACAGAAGCAGGTGAAAATGCAAGCCTGATTTCACTACATGCTGTTCCACACTGGTATTGGGAGCAAGAAAAGTAAGTTCCACCTGATGGTGGGTTGACATAAATTTACACAGTGTTAATCCAACAAAACCCAGTAGTATTTATTGAGCACTTACTTTCTCTCTCTCTCTCTCTCTCTCTCTCTCTCTCTCTCTCTCTCTCTCTCTTTCTCTGTATATATATAATTTGTACCAGAGATCGAACTCAGGACCTTGGGCTTGAGAGGCAGGCGATGGAACCACTGAGCTAAATCCCCGGCCCTTGAACACTTACTTTATACTAAGCACTGTGCTAAGTGCTTTATGTGCAAAACCACTGCAGTCTTTCCAAATGGATTTCAACCTGCCAAAGATTAAAACTGGACCCTTATCTTTCACCATGCACTAAATTAAAATCCAAATGGATTAAAGATCGAAACATTAAAACAGAAACACTAAACTTGCTGGAAGATAAGTTAGACAGAACTCTGGAAGACATTGGCATAGGAAAAGACTTTATGAACAAATCCTCAGTAGCACGGGAACTAGCAGAAAGAATCAACAAGTGGGATCTCATCTTATTAAAAAGCTTCTGTACTGCAAAAGAAACCATCAACAGAACTAAGAGACAACCTACAAAGTAGGAAAAAGTTTTTACCAGCTGCTCTACAGACAAAGGACTACTATAGAGAATATATAAAGAACTCAGAACAATCAGCCCCCTCCAAATATAAAGACCCAATTCATGAATGGGAATCTGAAATGAACAGACATTTCTCAGACAAAGAAGTAAAAGCAGCAAGTAAATATATGAAAAAATGTTCCACACCACTGGCCATTCGAGAGATCCAGATGAAAACAACACTGAGATTCCACCTCACCCTACAAAGAATGGCTGCTATGAAGAAATCAAGCAATAACAAATGTTGGCGGGGTTGTGGGGAGAAAGGAACCCTTCTCCATTGTTGGTGGGAGTGCAGACCGGTGCAGCCACTATGGAAATCAATATGGAGAAACCTCAAAGAGCTGGGACTAGAGGTGCCGTTTGACCCAGCCATCCCTCTGCTGGGTATCTTTCCAAAAGAATTAAAAGAATCATACCACAGTGATAAATGCACACCAATGTTTATAGAGGCACAGTTTGTAATAGCTAAAACTTGGAAACAGCCCATTTGCCCATCAGTTGGAAACTGGATAAAGAAGATGTGGTTTTTCTATAAAATGGAATACTACTTAGCCACAAAGAATGTGAAAATAGAGTCATTCATAGGAAAATGGATACATATTGAGGATATGCTCCTAAGTGAAATAAATAAGTCACACATGTGTAAATACGGAATAGTTTCTCTGGTTTGAAAAACTATAATAGTACATAAGATCCTAATGATATAATTGACCATGTGAAATAGGAAGAAAAGTGCTAAAGGTGTAGGGAAAATGGGAAGGGTAGGGGAAAGGTAATAAGGGAAAAGAAAAAAATATGACAAAATGAAAAAATGGAAATAAAGTGTTTGTAAATTGGGAGGGGAGGAGGGGGTGAAGGGAGGGCACAGAAAAGGTGAAAAAAACGAGAACTAAGACCTGTCATGTAAAGGTACACGATCCCAATAATGAACGGAATTGTACTGTATACCTAAAATGTACCAATAAACTCAATAAAAGGCAAAAAATAAAAAAACAAAACAAAACAAAACAAAAAAACGCTGCAGTCGTTCCAAGACCTTGTGAGGAGGGTGTTTCATATGCCAAATAGGCGCTTAGAATGATTAATTAATTTCATTCTTTATTTCCTTCATTTGTTTGGCAAGTATTTAACGAGTGTTTGTTATGGGCTGACTTTCTAGGCACTGGAAACACAGTGGCAAATGAGGACAGCAGCCCTGGTCCACGGAGCTGAAGTACCAGCCTCCAGCTCAGGAAGATCTGCAGGACCCCTGGGCGGCCGTGTCCCCCAAACACCACAGGCACTGTCACAGCGTAGACAACTTAAGACTGTAAGGCCACTGAGGCAGCACTTCATCTCCTGCTGGATAAATGAAGCAGAATGTTTCTCTACATCATCTTCCGGAAATGTGGACAGCTTAGAGGAAGGAAGGCGGCTGGCCAGAATGACACACACTCTCAGTAGCTCCGCAGCATCTTTTTCTTTTTTTCCTCTTTGGTAAAGAAACCGCCTCAGCAAGGGAGGAATTTCACTCTCAGCTGAAAGTAGTAATACCACCACAATTCTCAGCTATGAGGCTGAGACAGGAGGACTGCTAAGTTCAAAGCCAGACTGGGCAACTTAGTGACTTAATAAGACCCCATCTTAGAATTAAAAAAAAAAAATGAAAGAATGAGAATGTAGCTCAGTGCCCATGACCTGGGTTTAATCCCTGGGAGAGGGAGAGGGAGAGGGAGAGGGAGAGGGAGAGGGATGAAACTGAGCTCTACAGTTTCCAAGTGCTGCTCCACTCACCATACAGTTTCCGTGCTGCTCCACTCACCCCCACGAGACGCGGGGACTCTGTCCTCTGTGTGGCCGCCCTGTGTAGCCAGGGACACTAAACAGGCTCTCACAGCCTGTGTTCCACAGACGGGTGGATGGGGTTCAATTAGTGAGGTTCACAGTCTGCAGTTGGAAATTTGTAAAACATCCCATAGACCTGGGGAACATGCTTCAGGGGTACTGGAAAGACTGCTCTGTCACATTTTTTAATTTCTCCAAGATCGAATTTTGCACAGAAAGCATTTGTACGGGTACGAGGGAGGTAGAATGTCTACTTTTATTTAACTTTAGTTCCCCAACAAGCACTCCATATTTCTGACTGCTTGGTCGTCCGAGGGAACGAACTGACCAGGGTACACAGGAAGGCAGTACTGAAGCTCCCTCATCACAGCCAGAATTAAGCCAACCCGGCTGCTCCACCTCCAGGCCTCAGAGGGGCCCTGCCGCACCTACAGCCACAGCCACACAACTCTCATCACTGCTGTTTCAGCACCAAAAAGAAAAAAAAAGGGCCACATTCTCAGACTTCATTCCTGAAATGCAGGCTCTGTTTCTAGCACTTCTTAGACCAAATTTGATTTGTAATCCTTAAGAGCCCTAATAACAAATGCTAGTCAGAACTGTCTTTTGCTTATGTGTTCATAAGACGGACCATTCTTGCTAGCTAAGGAGCAATTTTCCTTGTTATCTTAGCAGAGAATTTGCATTTTGATTTATGCAATTTTTCAGTAAATTAATCCAAAGAGAATGTTATCACTATGTTTCCCTAAACACAGCATATCTCAGCAAGGACAGAAATCATGCCAGTGAAACGGACCTTACAAAGACTCCGTGATAAACAAGCATTTCCACAGTCCACGATGGCAACGGGGCAGGCTGTGCCTGCTAAGGATTAATATTCTGCCAGCAAAGGCAGCGTCCACAACAGGACACAGGAAATCTAAGAAAGTCGCTTTCAAAGAACGGGAAGGGTTTGGGCCTGGGCAGAAGCGGGGCCTCCCCAGCTCTGGTAACTGCACCCCTCTACCCAGAGGCCCCGCCCACCCCGGCTCTGCCCAAGGCACAGAGCCCGCCAGCCGTGCCCGCATGGGTGGAAAATGGGGTGCAGCTTCTTCGTGGACGCTTGCTTTCTCAGTCAGAAGGTGCGTTTCTGTTCCCTTCAAGGCACGTAATTCACTAGGAATTCTTTACCACGCCGCTCCATAAACTCTCCCAAGAATCTTCACAAAATTTCTCCTCTCTTAACCAGCACAGCGCTGCGTCGATGACAAAACGCCCCCAAGATAAACAAACACTGAGGCTTAGTGATCGCAGCCCAGGACAAGGGAGCCCAGTCCCGCAGCTGGGGGCGGGGCCGTCGGGAGCAGACAGGGCAGTCACCTGTCACCCCGCGCCGGCTGTCACACGCAACTCACCATGCGGACTAAAGCTCCTCTGAGGGGTCTCCCGCCATTGCTGGAAGGTGGGTTTGCTTCCAGGGGACCAAATTCAAACTTTAAATATTCAGCTGCATCCCAGCCACATACTGTCAGTAGTCATTATGTTTTTGTATCTTTATTCTTTTTCTCCACAATTTCAGCAAACTACCTTTAGTCCAATGAATGTCACGACTGCATAGTAGCAGGAAGGTAAACGTGCCAAAGTTTCAATATTAGTTATTTTGTGTCTTAAATTATGTTTAATGCATAGCTTTAATCATTCCATTATTGCCCAACAGCTGTGATTCACTCATGGGGCAGCGCCTGGAGAGGTGGCTGGAGGGGGGTCATCAAGAACCCGGGGCTCAGCCGAGCCTGGTGGCGGAATCCTGCCATCCCAGCGCTCTTAGACATGAGGACACGGACGGCAAGCGGGAGTCCAGCCTGGACAACTTAGGGAGACCCTGTCTCACAATGAAAAATGAAAAAAGAGGGTGGCATGGGGAGGCAGCTCACTGTGAAGACCCTGGGTTTAATCCCAAGTATTGAAAAAAAAAAAAATCAGACCCTTCACCAGCTGCTAACTAAGGCAAGTTACCACATCTCTCAGAACTATGGGGAAAATAACAGTTTCTAAACCACACCGTTATTTTGAAAACGATGTATAAAGTGATTATAACAATTCCTTGCAGAATAAATAAGTGCTGAGATATTAGTGCTTATTGAAAAACTGCTGCTCCAAAATATTTATCAGATGAAAGAAATTCTGTGCAATGGATATTTACCATGCTGTTGAATTATATCTAGCACTTAGACCTATAGAGCTTCTGAAAAATAATCAGGCTGCCTTGACTAGCCAATTTAATAACTTCTAAGATGTATTTCCAACACAGCTCTCTTCTCGTACATCTTCTAGTTTACAGCCCATGCAGGCAAAGAAAAGGATTTTTAAATGGATATTTACAAGTGGAATCATCATCCTGTCTATGCTCAGATTTTTTCTTCTGGACTATACTAAACCTCATTTAAAGAAAGAAAATCAGAGAGGAGTGTTGCAAAAAGAAGATAAGCAGGATAGGAAGTTGAAAGATGAAAGAGGAAACTATATCCAGATTACATTAATTACACCGGGTTTGCAATTCCTGTTAACTCTTGGGGATTAGGTGGTGTAATTTCAGAATCTTAAAGACCTAGATTCATAGCTTCCACCAACTAGATAAATGAAAACTCATTTTTCTTACTGGGCAATCCAATTAACACGCCTTTATAACACTTACAGAGACAAACTCCTACTTGAATGCATACCCAAACAGGGTATTTTGTCCCTTTAACATCTCAGAGAAATCACAGGAATTTACTGGCATTTTAATAATATTTTTTTAAATGTCTACAAAGACTCCCAAATCACTTGGACAATACATCAAATGCAAATGTAAAGATTTGGTTCTCTTTGAATTTATTCAGGAGGGGTAGGGAAAACTGGTTTTGTTGCCCTTACATTCTCACTTTTGACTGTATCTGTGCTTTTTCGGTGTACCTTCATTACTAATCTACAATAACGCCTTTTAGCATTCGATCTGTCAAGCCCCCAGTCACACAGTATTCCACTAAATAATCTCAAGGAAGTCTGCCCTTTTATCATTCTCCTGGTAATGGTCAACCCATACCCCTTCAGATGACACGTATCTGGAAAACCAGTCACGCTGCCAGGAAAAGACAACTGACTAAAGGAAATAAGTCTATTTTAAACCATGAATATATTTTTCTCTCAGGAAGATTTAACTTTAAATATAGCCCGGATTTTTTCCACGGTCACCATGGCAACACTATTGCTTATAGATCTGAATTTAAAATTAGTTCACATCTGTTTAGTAGTCAAGAAAATCATCTTGAACATCTGTGGGACAGGTACCTTCTAATGATCCTGTAAGACACCCCTACAGGAGTCCTGGTGGCCACGTACCTCTGAGGGCCCAGGTGCCGTGATCTCTTGAAATGGCCGATCCCTTTACAGCCGAGGGTTGGGCACCCACCTTGGTCAGAAGCTTCCATTAATTCTGTGGCACCTATAAAAAAGAAAAAAAAAATGTCATCCAATTTCTGAATGAACCGAAACAGAAAAAACAAATAGATAACGGGGAATAGGGAGACAGACCGGAAAATGGGAAGGGGACCAAGAGACGGAGGAGAGAGAAAAGGAAAGTAAAAGGAATGAAGCCGTGTTATGTACATGTACCAATGCCCTGTGGTGGATGTAATCATCATGTACTGCAAAGATACACTCGTAACATTTTTAAAAAATAAAACCGAAACTACCTTAAAAGTCACTACATGTAAAGATTTTCTTCTCTGACTTCATTCACACGATTTCTATTATTGCAGCACTGAAATAATAAATGTTGATCTAACTTCCTAAACACTGTCACAAATTACAGGTACCCAAATCTGACTTAGGGATTTCAAAGAAACATACAGAGTTGCTAACTTAATTTACCCAGGAATACTGAGGGAAGGGCGTAGCTCAGGGGCTGAGTACCTGTGTCTCATATTCCTGGTCCTGGTTCACACCCGGTTTCATAAAACCACCCCTCAGACTGTGAAGTACTGCAAGCCCAGGACAGAATAACGGGTGCAAAGCTCCTTCCGGCCCTTTCTTCTGCACTTAGAATCTCCCTCATCTGAGCACACAGGCGCAGGGGGTCCTCCCTCTGGATGTGACTGTAGGCGCTCAGGTACAGGCTTACATTTGTACAGACGCACAGGTCAGTCAGGGTTTTATTTTACTTTGCCACGTAAAAGGTATAACATGGATGTGCGCTGTTTCAAAACCTGTCTGATAAATCGTCTTCTGTGGCAACACTGATATTCTTTATGACTCGTGTACAGCGTCCATGGTATGGTGCGCCACAGTTTACTTAACCAATATTGTTTCTAGGTTGTGTTATGTTAGATGACCTGCATGAGTAAGATGAACATCATGCAGATTTATTGTGCTCTTATGTGGTTAATATGAGGCACCCAGAAGTGCAGTCACTAAAGAAAGAACACTAAATTTTTTTAAAACCCAACTATATATTTTTCCTGATAGTAAATATATATGTGTTATGTATGTTACAATGTAACTATTATCCAGAATTAAGATTCATGCTACGTTAAGTTCTCTCTACCTTTTTTAAAAACAGAACTTAGGGGATGCTGTTTTGTGAGATAACTGAAGACTGACATGCAGTCGTAGGGGAGTAATACGGAGGAAGATCTGCCCTTTTCCCAGCGTTTCCCAGTGGTAACATTTTGCAAGCTTTTTTTATAAAATTATTGTTAGGATTCCAGCACTGATACGGTTTTGATAGTCTGACAAACTGCCTTCCAAAACTCCATACGAATTTTAAAAGGGAGGGCTCACCCCTAAGTGAAGGTAGAAGAGTGTCTGCACATTACCTACTTTTTCAGGTAGTGCATTGTTTCTTTTCTATTTTTGTGACTAGGGTAATTAAACATATATCAAAAAGGATGACCTCAAGAAGAATGTACAGTAGACTAGACAGAAAAGAGAGGGAGGGGAGGCAGTGAAGGAGGGGATTCAATATGCTGCACGAGAAAACTGGACACCTGCCAAGTGCCCCCAGCTCTTACTCAGAGGAGGCTGAAGAGCGTGTCCGGTTTTGGAACACCAGCCCACAGGGTGGATATCAGGAGAATCGGCCTCTATCCAGTAGTCATAGGTGCTGCTCCAGCCATCAAAGTGAACCTGGAGAACAGGATACGAACAGTCACAAAACGTCCTACAGCGAGAGCGCTGCCCAGGGCACAGACACTTTATTATCTTCAAACACATACGGGAAATTTGCTCCCAATAAATCATTTCAACTACAGTTCACTCACAGTAGGACCTAAAAGGTCCTTTTGAAATCTTCAACGTATTATAATCAACATATCCATAAACGTCTCACCACAGGCACTCCTGGGGCACCAGTGCTGTAAGCACCCGATGCTTATCTCAACAGCATAAATAAGCTGGGCACAGGAACTGTCGCCACATCTTCATGGACTCAACATCCAACCACCCGGACGGAGGGCTGGAGCAGAGCGGTTTAAAGATCAGGGAAGGGACGAAGAGGGTGCAGATGGCAACAGTGGAGACACAGCAGAGGGAGACCTTTCTAGCACAAAAGTGAGGCTTAAAAAAAATGCAACTCTACTAGAAACATCCAAATTATAAAACACCCCTCCGCCAAATGCATTTCTGAGTATTATCCTTGTGAATAATTAAAACGCCTCTCATCGATGGGCACCACCTTTCCTGCTGAAAACTCGGCTGGTCCTTTCGTCACCATCGCCAGGATCCGCCACAGAACCTCTGAGACGGAAGGACACGCTGCAACTGCTTTCATGGTTTCCTTCTCAACCAAGTTTACCAGTGAGATTCCTTCCTTTAAGGTCTATGAATCTCTCATCCTCACGCACCAGAAACTTAAACATTAAATGCTGAATGGCAGAGCAGGAGCAAGTCACCAAGTTTACCAGCCACAAAAGACAAGACTGATCAATGTGACTGCATAAAAACTTAAAACTTCAAAGTGGCAGCAGAAATGACCACATGAGAGACGGAAGGCCCGCAAGACATCCCAAAGAACTCCCTTGCCACACAGGTGACAAAGCACTTTCTTTCTCAATTTATTAAAACAATATGTAAAAACAGAACAAGAGGAAAGCCGAGAAAGAAAGTCTGGAAAGACATACGAATTGTTTGTTATCAAGAAAATAAATAGCTAACAAACAAAAGACAATTTCACTTATAACTAAACACTATGAATTAAACCACAGGACGTGATTCTTCTCTAATATACCAAAAATGTCCCCATTTCTGGTGACTCTGACAGCTGGAATTAAATGGCTGTTTCCATAGACCATCCATCACAGGAGGAGTTAACTTGCAGGGGGATTTCTGGGGAGCTGTTTGGCAATACCAACCAACATTATAACATGTTATGTTGGACTTAATTACTTCAATAGCACTGTTTATAGCAAAGAACAAAGAGAAGTAACCAGGCGCCACCATCAGAAAACTGGCTACATGATGTTCATAGGATCAAAAGTATGAAAAGTGCATATTAATGGACTCAAAATAATGTCCTCGGCAATGAATCCACTTTCTCAAGCTCAGAAATCAATGTTCCTAGACTCAAAACCATAGAATGTCACACCTAGAAGAAATCATTTATATTATCCTACAGAGCAGAGCAGACTCACAGAGAGTAACTGGCTAGCCAACAGCCACAGAGCTAGTTAGGAGGGTAACTAGGCCTAGAATTCAAGAGTTGGAAATAAAACAATTCATCATTCACATACACTGAACTGAAACATCAGTCAAAGAAAGTTAACTCAAATAACTTTTTCCCTTCCTCTGATAAAAATACAATGCTTAAGGAAGACAGATCTCCTACAAAAGGAGACCAGGAGATGGGGGGATCAAGATGCATTTGTACATTTACCAACTCTTCACGATGAATCTAATTATTGTGTGCTGCAAGCATGCACTAAATGACAATAAAAATGAAACAAATAACCCCCTAAAAGTAAAAATAATGTTCAAATAATGAGAATGATACTCATAATTTTCTGAAAATACAATTTTATAGTGCCAACGTCACCAATGAATGAGTGATCATACTGTATTCTGTTAAGTTTCAAGCATTCTGATTTTCAACTAACCATAGTAAGTCATCATTTGTTTTACTAGCAACATGAAGCCCCATGTTTTCTGATCTTACTATCCCTGAATTCCTTTTCTTTTACATGGGAATCAATGTTTATATAACTCAAGCTCCCTTTATTGTAAATTAGCAATTAAATTTAATGGATGTTAGCTATCTGCCTATAGTAAATGATCTCAACACTATCAAGGGAAATGGTCCTCCACCCTGGACACACATCAGAAGAACCTGAGAATACTAAAAAAAGGAGCGGGGGACTCGAGGAAGGCAGGCATGGTGGCGCACGTCTGTAATCACAGCACTTGGGAGGCTGAGGCAAGAGGATTGCCAAGAGTTCAAGGCCAGCCAGGACTACTGGTGAGATCTTGCCTCAAAACAAAATGAAACAAAAATGACAACAACAACCACCACCAAGAGAAAGCTCACTTAGGCTCTGTTCAACCTGTGATCTATCATTTACTAAACTTCAAAGTAGTTACAATGAGCACTTAGAATGAAGAACCACTGGTAATAAGCAGGACCTTACTGTACAGCAACCGTCTCCGAAGTCCTTTCTATCGCCCCAGATCAAAGGGTTCCTGTTACATTTTTCTCAAGGATAACGACAAAGAATATTTTCTTTGAAGCTACTATGTCTGGTGACACCCTGTCACTTCTAGTGTTCATCTAGGCTGACCCCTCAGCCTGTAGCTGGCGGGAGGAATCTCTCCAGGGTTAATACCCCTTGGACTCGATAGACATAACGGCATTGCAAAGTAGGCTAAGTATTAAGTTTTAGGTATAAAATTAGTTTCATTATTAAGAAGAGATATAACCATTGTATTTTCTCTAAGGAGCAAAGTATTTAAAAATATTCTATCAAATTATGTAACTATGAACAGCATAAGTATCGATCCTCCTCAATATTTATACTCTGGAAGCTCAAATTAAATAGCAATTTTATTAAAGTTTTCAGAGTTTCATTTTATCATCTATAATTTTTATGACTTCAGTCTGTAGCATATTAATGAAGAAAAAACACCCCACCTTCTATAGCTAATAGTTTTTCTCTTGCCAGATGCTATTTTGAAATGAAACCAAATGCCCAACAAAGAACTAGGGAGGGAGACATATTAACATACAATATGGAATACTCAGAAACTTTATAAACACAAGAGAAATATAAAATTTATAAGACACTATTCCACTACAAGCACATTTATATGCAACTCAGCAACAATGCTGAATTCAATTAAATTTCTAAAGTAAGCAGACCACACTACAGATCAAAGTACAGCAATGGATACACTGCTTACCCAGAAGTATAATTTGGACTCTTTATATAAACTTCCTATACATATTAACAACAATGTTAAGAAGGTATTTTAGAAACATGCGATTTCTTTAAAAAGAAAATCTGGAGGGATTTCTTTTGTTCATACAAAAGGGAGCTCAGTGGGGCCAGGGGCCAGGCATTTAGCTCAGTGGTGCTGCCACCTGCCTCGCAAGTGCAAGGACCCGGGTTCGATCCCCAGTGCCAAAAAACGGAAAAAAAAAAAAAAAAAGGTAGGGGGAGCTCCGTCAACAAACGCATTTTGCACACAGGTGTACAGACCTGAGGAAAAACAAAAAGTCACAAGGAAAAGACTACTTGATTCAGCAGTGAACAAGATTTCCTGATTCACAATATAGTGCATGCTTCTAAAGAGACATTATTTTACCAAAAGAATATGGAAAAAAAGAATGGCAAGATCTATGTGTTGAACTTAATAGGAAGAAAATAAACCATATTTAAAATTGAAGAATTGAGAAATAGCAGGATATAGATGATACTTTAGAAAATAGGGGATAAAATGTCTTAAGAAACACCCAAAGTGCCTAAAGCTCCTGCTCGTGGTGGGCCAGACTGGAGATGAGATGGCCGCAAAAATGGGTCCTTTTAGGTCACCAAAAATGGAAGAGAAGAGCGAACACATTCTGGTTGCTTTTCTTTAGGAACATGGGGCAAAATATTTAAAAGTTTTATAACTACTTACCATATTGGCTCATGGCATGAAATACCACATCGTACATGTAACTTTAAAAAGTTGATTTTATTTAACTTCACTTGAGTTTATCCTTGAGAAACTTCACAATATTAAGCTACACTTAGTCTACATTTTCTCCCCCTTTGTCTTCCTCTCTGAAGAAGGAAGATGTGGCATCGTCTGCGGTTATTATGAGAGAAACTCCTCCTGTGAGGAGCTCTGCGCATTTTCAGAAGCTCTAATGAATGTGGAGCGGACGCCATGGCCCTGTTTATGACCTTTGGAGGATTCAGAACAGCAGGACACAGCTTGGCAGTAGCTTGGTAAGTACAACAGTCAACTGCACACCTCCCTGTAACACCTGCAGCCCCACCCCGGTGTTAGAGATGGGCCGTGGTGTGGTTTTAGAAAAAGAAATCAGCTTCAAGGCAAGAGCTGGATTCTATTCTAAAAGTTTCCCATTAACCAACGGAAACATTTGACTTTTAGCGGCCCTGATCTCCTCACGTGTAAAATCACAGCGGTGACCTCAGTTTCTGTTACTGGAGAAGGAACACAGATTTCTGAAAGCAAACAATTAACAAGAGAAACTTAATGGTGTGCAGTTGCAGCCCCCCCATGAGGAGCACTGTCTCCGCTATGGGGTGTTTCTTTCCGGTGCTGGTTATGCATCTGTTCTTTTGGGGAAAAGCAATCAAAATTGAACATAATGTAAAGCTGGAAATTGTCACGTGCCAACAGCAAACGTTCTTCTAAAATATTTTAATTTACCATCATTGTAGATGTATGAGGGTTTCTTTTGCCTACCAGTGACTGTGGTAGTTCTCAACGTTAAACATTACCTCGGCATTGTTCCCACCTTCCCTGGATCTTAAATCTGTGAGTATGTCCACAGCAGATACCAGCACAGAGCTTCCTGAATTAAAGGATGAACAACCTTCTATGATTCTGATGGCAAACTGCTCTTCAGAGTCGCTGGGATACTTTATATTTTCCGCCCGGCCATTATAAACGTTTCCTCTAATCTAACTGAAAACAGCATTTTCCCCCAATTCTGAGCAATCTGTCTTCTAAAAATAATATTGTGCTTAACTCTGCATTCCTTTGGCTATCTAGCTTATTTAGAAAATATTTCCAGTTCTAATATATTCTGATGGCATCATGATTTATATCACAACCAACTCAATTAATAAGAAAATGCACTTGAAAGGCTGACACATGCCTTGCATTATTTATAAAATTTCTGAAAGTTATATAATTACATAATCGTAAACAGTGAATTGAATGTTAAAATTTCTCTCTGATGGGTATATATTTGTACAGCTTTTAGTTCATTTTACATTTTATTTGCTTAGCTGGGCATGGTGGTGCACACCTGTAATCCCAGCACTTAGAAAGCTGAGGCAGGAGAATTGCTTAGAGTTTGAGGCCAGCCTGGACTGCACAGTGAGTTCAAGGGCAGCCTGAAATACATTAGTGAGACCTTGTCCCAAAAAAATGAAAGAAAGGAAGGAAGGGAGAGAAAGTTTATTTTCTTACATACTATCTCACTGCAGATAGATGAGGCTGTGATTTATTATTTTTGTAAATATGCATACCTCTAAATTCCCACAGTATAGAACTGAGACTCAGTTCTGCCACTGCTGCTACTTACAGTGTCAGAATGAAGTCATTCTTTTAATCTTTCTGAGTCTGGCTCATCCGTAACACAGTGATGCCAGCCTATTTCCCACACTGCAAAAGCTACAGCGTACAGATAATAGGAGACCGCTGCCATCCTGTAAAAGGCCACAGAGGAGGTAGGTCTTTCTGGGCAACAGTCACCACTATTCCTAATGAAACGCTAAACAGCCCTTGGTGGTAACAACCAGGCAGCATTCAGATTTGAGAGAGAAGCAAATGTGGAAGGCGGCAGTAGCCAGGCCTTAGGCATGACTCAAATCACCTCCCAACAAACCAAACCAGCATCCTGCGCGGCCGCTCACTTCCTGAGAGCTGTCTGATTTTACTCATCCGTTTGTAGTAAAAATGTGATTGTATCTATCAAACGATTTATTTTTACTTGTCTTATATCAAAAGCCTAGATACTCTTTGGAAAAGACTACCTAACATACCTCACAAAAAATTGACCCTTAATTTTTTTAAAAAAGAGCACAATGTAGGAGAACAAAGTATGTATTTCCTTCTGAACACAGAATTACCTAATGTGTTGCATCTACTTTATTTTTCTAAACACATACTCAAAATATTGAAAGTCACTCAGCATTAAAGAGAAAGCAGCCCGTGCCTATAATCCCAGCACTCTGGAAGCTGAGGCGGGAGGACCACAAGGTTAAACCCAGTCTGGGCAACTTAGGAGTATCCTGAATCAAATAAAAAGTAACAACAGCAAAGATGGAGGAGGCCATGGACAATACCAGTTGCCTGGATTCAATCCCGAGCACCACAAGGTATGGAGAAAGATAGATGAAAAGAACAGAATGGGACAGACAGGACTGCACCAGACCAGGATGAAGAGAAAACATCCTTAAGCACCTCAAAGGAAAAACCTTGAATGCATGAATGACTTGGAGAGACTCATAAGCAATTACTGTGCCTATTCCCACAGTCTTATTAATTTAATTCCAGGACTTTGTAAGTTAAATATCTACTGAAGTTTCCATTCAAGGAGACTTGTACCAAAAGCCAAAACCAAACCCCAGCTGGGACACTTACTTTGATTCGGTGATCATCCGTGTCTGCAACAGTCGCGACCCTAATGAACACGGGGTTCCTTTTATCTACGACTTCCAGCTTCATCTTTTTCTGGAAACCATGTGGAGGTTTCTGCCATAAGAGAAAAGTTTCACAGTCAGACTTAGAGGGAAAACAGGAGGACCTGACGCTACACAGAATAGAAACAGACAAGCTATTTAGGGAACCAGCTTTTCAAACTCTCAAATTCCCAGTGTGTTTCTGGATATAAACTTCCCCACCAGAAAAGTAAAGCCACAACACACAGGAGAAAGACAGCTGAGGGGTGAAAAGAGGGGCTGAAGGAAACACACTGGTTATTTCCTTAGCTACAGGGGAGGCCAAACAATTTTCTCATTGGTTGGAGGCATCGTAGCAAAAATCCACAAGCACTCATTTTTATTTTTAAAAGGAAATGAAAAACAAGAGTGGCTGAAACAATGCACCGAGATTTAGAAGTACTGAGGGAAAGAAAGCAGAAGACAGCTTCGGAAAAGAAACTTAGCAAGATGGAGTAGCTCTTACAAGACAGGGATGGGAAAAGGGGATCCACAGCTCCCTACGGTCCCTACTCAGAAGAAAACAGACCTCTGAAAAACTCACGGGTGGGGAAGGCAAGGTGATGGACCTGTAAGTGGTTACACAGATTACTTGTATTTTCTAACTTCTGGTCCCTATTTTGGAAAATGAGTGTAATAAAAGTGCTGCTCAAAAAATTAAGTGTGAAAACTATGTAAACGAAGCTAGGCATGGTAGTGCACGCCTGTACTCCCAACACTGGGGAGGCTGAGGCAGGAGGATAGCTGAGAGTTTGAGGCCAGCCTCAGCTACATAATGAGTTCAAGGCCAGCCTGAACTATACAGCTAAACCCTGTCTGAAAAAAAAAAAAAAAAGAAAAAAGAAAACCAAAATTATGTAAATGATATGGAGCAATCAATGCAAGTCATCTAAAAAGCCAAATAAGAGAAATCTTAATTTTCTTCCTGAAATAATATTAGATATGTAAATTTATCCTAATGTAATTTATACAGTTTAAAGCAAGGTTAAAAAAAATAGCGTTTATGTTAGACTCAAAGTTAGAGTAGATAAAAATTAATAAATATGCCAATAACTCTAAACATTAATCTTAAAAATTCCAAGCTTACTATCACTATCAGATGAAGTCATACAAATTCTTTGATGGTGTGTCTCTTCATGTAATGTACTTTTACTCTTAAAAATTCTTTTTTTGCAGCACTAGGGATGAATCTAGGGTCTCACACTTGCTGGGCAAGTGTTCTACCACTGAGCTACATCCCTGGCCATTCAAATCACTTCTGATCTTATATATATACACTCATAACTGCTAATTAATTCTATCATTAAAAATCCTAGAAAGTTATACATACAAGCGTCATTTAAAGAGCAGTATTACTTATGAGACTATGCCACATTTTAAAATTTATTTAACAAATATTTTTCCTTTAGATTTGTGAGAAAATACAAATGTTACAGCAAGCTATTTGATTTGAAAAAACAATAAATGCATTTCATTTATTACTCTTCTCGTGCTGAAGAAAGGACGTTTACTTTGCATCTTAATAAGTTCTGTGCAAGAAGTAAAGACCTTGGGCTTCTGTGAGATACAATACTATAATAAAAGCAGGTGACCTCACTTTAATAAAACATGCTGATTTGTAGCAATAAAATACAAAGCAGCATCTCAACTTGCCACAAACAAATTCAAAGGAATTACAAATGTAAATTTTATTTGAAAACGTTTTCCATCCAGTTTGGTCTTTAAAAATATCTAGCTAGAAAAACAGATGTAGCATTATTTTTGAGGAAGATTTTAAAATCCAAAAAAAAAAATAAGTTTGTTTGCCAACAATCCCAGTTAACAGTTTTACTTTAAAAAATTGTAAAATTTCAAAACTCCTTCGGGCTTCTGTTTTCTTCTTTCCTATTCTGATTTACCAGTATCATCTTTTCCTGTTCTTAAATTTCAGGGAACAGACGACAGCACAGACACAAAGCAATCACACAGTGTAACACATGAGAGTGTTGTCTCACCACTTTGAAAGCTCTTGCAGGAGCAGGTAAAGAATTGGTTTCTTCTAAGTATTTATCCCAAGAAAAATGTTTCACATTTGGATAACCTAAGAAAAAAATAAAAATATAAATCATATGAGATTTAACCAAAATGATAACAAGAGTAACAGATTGCCCTACAAAAATTATATATATATATAATTTACATAGGAGAAGTGTTAGCAAACACAAGTAAATGACTTGAAATGAGCTGTTTTAGTTCTTCTGATTTATGACCATCCCACGTGGATGTAAAAACACAACACATAACTGCTTTTGCACTTGAAAATAGAAAAACAAATTAGAAGATCCTCATGTGCAAAAAATAAAGTGCATATGAAATAAAAAGCGTTTACTAAAAAAACATTGAAGGGGTGTGTGTGTGTGTGTGTGTGTATCTGAATATATAAACTACTCTAGATATCTCTTCGTAGTGTTAGGTTGAACAAAGTAACACACCCTAATCGTAAGACCTTATTAATAGAATTATAAAAATAACTATCCTTTCCTTTCTCCTGCTGCCTTTTGTATCCTCCAGAGCCCCAAATCCATTAGGTAGGTACGAGTAGGAATTAAAGCGGCCCAGTAGGGTGGGAGATTAGCTACATAAAGGGGACTGAGAAGATATCCAAATACATGCGGGAAAACAGAAGCTGAGCTTCTCCCTGGCTGAGAAGCACAAGAAAGGGGCATGGAAAGAAGAAAAGCAGCAAGGCAGCCGAGAGTCTCGGATCTGAATCGGAGTCCATGGCATCGATCCCCAGTTCTCAATACACACGGATGCAGAAACACGCACACATCTGTGCACATGTTACACATTTATGCGTACGTATTTCCTCCGTCCACTGAGACAAGTCATGTGTCAGGAGCAGTGAGCACACAGCAACCACACACGGGGTTCCGAATATCATCCTCTACTGAGGAGAACCACGGATCCGTGGAGGAGCCGCTACTGCAGCAATGGGCGGGGGCAGGTACAGAGGTCAGCTGCGCTGGAAAGTAAGAAGTCCCCCAGAAACGCTAAGAACACATCCAACAGGCTCTCACCAGCTAAACTCTCGCAGAGTCTGAGATGTAAATAAACAGTGCCACTCAAGGATCATAACTCCTTGTTAAAAACAGTAAGCTATGGGTCCATGCTGGTATAAATAAACGCAATAAATGAGAAAGCTACTCTTTGCAGAATAATATGAACCAACTATGCACAAAGACTAATAATACTAGACGGTGTGGTTCATAATGAAAAACTACCATTTATCTAGAAATATCAACAGATGCTAAAACTGGGGGGCAAATTCAGCACTGCAGCATTTCTGAGGTATTCCTGCCCGAGTGTGTGAGCTGGCCAAGCTTACTCCCAGTGACCTCCACACACGACAGTGCGATCCTCCAGCAGGCTGGCACGATGCAGGCCGGGAGGGCCAGCCACGGAGCGCAACACCTGATCTTTCTGCTGCAAATCACATCATTTGTTCAGCTGACTAAACCCAGTGCATTTCGGGGTCGAGGGCACGGATGGATTCTGCACCATTCTTGACACGTTTGAAATTATTTCAAAGGAAAATGTCTGAAAAGTAGGTTTCTTCTTTGTAAGAATCTTTTTGGTCTCTGAGAGACTTCTTTGAAGATAATAAATGATACACAGTGTGCTGACTATTGTTATTCTCTTATTATTTTGTTATGACATTTGTTTTATTTTCCTAAAAAACGAAACATGCAAGCGTACTTCTGTATGTGCATTTGACAGCAGATTTTTAAGCAACATGACTCGCACAATTGAAGTAACTTCAGTCAGAACAAACAGTCCATCCAACGAAACCGGTGGGTATGCAGAGGCATGTGTACTCACACAGAAAAAAGGCTCATGACCAGCTAAACTATACAGAGAGAGAACTGAGTTTATTTCCATTTTTCATTCTAAACTGAAAAATAAGCATGTAGGAACATAACTTGGAAAGTTCAAAATAAAAGAGATGAAGAATTTTTAGAACGGATCAACAGAGATGGCAGCACAATTCAGAGCAGGTAAATCTTGGAAGCAGCCTGCATGTCCATCACAGATGAATGGGTAAGGAAAACGTGGTATTTATACAAAGTGGAGTACTACTCTGCCATATAAAAGGACAATCCTAAGTCATTTGTAAGAAAACAGGCGCACTTGGAGATCATAATGTTAATTGAAATAAATCAGACACACAACCTTAAATATCACATGGTTTCTCTTATATGAGAAACCCAAGGTATAAACAAAGGGCAAAATAAAAGCTAGATAACAGGAAGTGAGGAGAGTTTTGTTTTTTTTTTTCAAATGGGAAGGGGATCAAGAGATGCAGGGAGGGGAAAGGAATCAGACATGGTAAGTACTTGTGCGAACTCTCCATGAAGAATGGAATCACTACCTCCTGCAAACATGTACTACTAATAAAAACAAGAAAAAAACAGGTAGGCTGTGTACAGAAACTGTGAAAGGAAGGCCCGCAAGGCTGGTCAAGGCGTGGCCTGATGCATGATACAACGGAGGTGCTGAGGGGAACTGGGTGGAGAGGACCTGCTTTTCAGGTAGGAGGGCAGAGACTGAGCACGGTGACCGAAGGGAGAGTGTGTCTTTTGTCGTGGGGCAAAGAGCAACATCAGCATGTGTACAGGTAACCATTTCATACTATGTGACGTCTTTCTGTTGTTGTTAGGTTATTTTCATCGTGGTTCGATATGTAAATTTACCATTGTAACCATTTTTAGGTGTACAGTCCAGTGGAATCATGAACATTCACACTGTTAGATCTTTGGCCTAATTTTTCACATGTGAATTTTTAAAAACGCGCCCAAAGCTGTTATTTTCTCTTCTGCTGAATTATAACGGTCCATAAAAGGAGAGCCAGCGGCAGTGCTAGACCCTACCCCTCCCTGGGTTCCTGGTAAGGGACCGGTCGTCGCCCAGCTCACATCTGTCTGCCTGATCTGACTACGACCTGGAATGGTACTGTAGGGAGAAAGGGTTTGTATCCAACCAGAAAACCCAAGAATCCTCAGGGTAGTTTAGATGGTGAGAGTGAGACAGGGTCACCTACGCAACAGTCAGTTGCTAATATTCTGTAACCCACAGGACACAGAAGGCCAGCATAAGAAATCCTCCAGACAGCACATTTGGAAATTAATTTGCAGAAAAATGTTAACTAATTATGTACACAGAGTAATGAGAAACAGAGCGGATTCCTACTAGCAACGGAGAAAATAATAACTCATATTAGAAACATCAAAGATGCTAAAACTAGTTACTGGTTTTGAAATGAGATTCAGGATAGTTACGCCCTTAGTATCTTGCTGTTTTCAAGTCAGCTCTGTAAATCAGCTGGGGCAGAGGCTTTCCTTTCCTCCCTTTAACTCAGGAGAAAACTCAGACAGTGAGAGAGGCGGGGCCTGCTGGTACCGAGTGAGAAAAGATCCAAGCGACTGGGGACCGGCTGGACACGCAAGTGGCTGTTAAGAGTGGAACGAGGGCCGGGGACGTAACTCGGTGGTTCCGCTGCCTGCCTTGCAAATGCAAGGGCTTGTGTTTGATCCCCAGTGCCAAAAAAAACAAAAAAACAAAACAAACAAACAAAAAACCAAAGAGTGGAATGAGCCTAACATTAAGCTCCAGGCTGCTGCAGGCGACACCCACAGCCGCTCTTAGGAAACTGAGGCTTGCCCTTCCCCATGACCAGGCGCCCACTTCGCCCAGGGAAACACCTGCCACCCTGTGTGGCGGGGCAGTGTGGGCCGCTGTCCCTACCGCTGTCCCTACCGGAGGAGCCACACCTTCAGCCTTCACAGGCTCAGAAGGGCATCCCGATTAGGACGAAGCGGCAGAATCTGTTCTTTAGCACAAGATGACAAACTCAAAAGGACAGAAAACTAGGATGCTATTTATCAGCAGCGGCACTGCTCTGTCGACGAGGCAAAGAAGCTGAGCAGGCCAGAGGCACACGGCTGCGGGCCCCCAAACCTCAGGGCACAACCGCTGGCACCCAGAGGACAGGGACCACTGGCACCCAGGTGCAAAATCTACTCTGGAGCCAGGAATCACAAGAGAAGAAACACAACTGATGCGTGAGCTCTTACTGAGAACACCTGAATTTCAGTCCTCATTTAACTGAACATCACGCTGCTCGCTTACCAGGCCTGACCCTGGTAAGGAGGCTGCGGTCTCCACACCACATTCCCGGACTTGCCCTAGACTAGGCAAATCACATCTGCAGTGAGGTAACGTCTTTTGATGTACGCTGATAGAGAGTCCTAAAAGTCAATTTCAAGTTGAGAAAGGAAAAATACATTAAAACAGCTTATCTCTCCAAAGAAGACCCCAATTTGAGACTCTGCTATACACTAGGACAGCACTCAATACACTGGAAGGTCAGGAAGCTTCCACCTGGGGCCGGCTGCACAATGTCGTAAAGAAGGCGTCCATGCAGCGTGACCACACGGGTTCACGGACTGCCTACCCATGCCTCTGTGCTACGCCCAAGTCAAGCAGTTGTGAGAGAGGCTACAGAGCATGCAAAACTTAAAACATTTACTACATGGCCCTCTACAGTCAGGGCTTACTGGCCTCTGACGTAGGTGAGTAATACTGGATACAGAATAAACACAAACCTGGTGGGGTAATGAGGGTCCGTCTGTGTTCTTTACACCAACCGACCGGATGAATGTGTGGGCTAGAGGCTTCGCACCTGGGGGGTACAAAAATGAAAATGCTGAAGTTACTGGATGAGCTCACAGACACGAGTACAAGTGGTCTTTGTGAATGGCGCATCAGAGATCATGAACACCTTACAGGCTTCTTCCGTACAATCGACCTACTTCGCCAAAAGGTGCTAAGCCAAAGGGTCTTTCACTTCTGCAGTACACCAATGCCAAGTAGCGTTTTAGTAGATAAATATCTGATGGATCCGGCATCATACAATTTCCTCCCCCCTGCAAATATGGTTTATATTCTGAAACTTCAAATGTAGCAGAAGTACAAAGACCATATCATTAAAATTCAGAATTTTCATTCATAACCATCATATGGAAAAAGACTGCACGCCGGCAAGATAAAATTACTTCACCATCTCTACAGGTACACACGCCAACACCCAAGGCTCAGTCACTCCAGAAACCAACAACATGCTACTTGTATTACCCACTACGATGGCAGAGACCAGCTACTAAAATAATACGCTTCTCCCTTCTCCTCTCTGTTACCATCACTACAGCTAAGCACAGATGTCCCCAGGACCTTTCTGCTAACATTCAAACCTGGTACTTCTGATTCCCTGCTCCTGACCATAACTGCTCTGCGTGTTTCTCCTGCCCGCATGCGACAGGGTTCGCCAGGCATCTGCTCCCCTGTTCCTCCAAGTGCTGAGGCGGGGATGAGATGCAGGGCGCTGGGAGAGCCTGAGCAAACTGCCCGAATACAGCAAATGCAAAGCTGCTGTTCTTGTGGCACTTACACTATAGTCAGAAGAGACAGAAGTAAACAACAAACAAAATACAGCGCGTCCCTCTGTATCTGCAAGGGATTGGGCCTGCAAACCCTGCAAATACCAAAATCAGAGGATATTCCAGTAACATATACAGGGCAGTCACCTTTAGATTGTACTCAGAACACCTGGTGTAACGCGCCTTGGTACACAGCACCAAGCAAGCGAAGTGGGAGCAGGCTGTGTGAGCACAAGAGTGCGCCTCACGGAGCCTGGTCAAGTCGGCTCCTAAATGCAACATTTTGAGGAAAAACCTGAAGGATTTGAAGAAAGAGAGAAGGGAGCCACAAAAAGACAGGAATGCAATCAGGGCACAGGTGACAGCAAGTATAAGTCCGTGGAGTGGGAGCCTGGCCGGTCTGTATCAGGAACAGGAGGGAAGAAACTGGGGAAGCGCAGACCAACAGGAAATGATGTCAGATGGGAAGGGCCATCGGGCTACAGGGAGCTTTGGGATTTTATTCAGGGTGAACTAGAACATCACCATGGAGGGTTTTAGGCACAGAAGTAGCTTACTCGTATTTGTGTTTTCATTATTCTGGCTGCTGTGAGGAAAGTAATCCACACAGGTGGCAAGAGAGGAGGTGGTCCAAGGCTCTGGCAAGGGTTGATTGTGGTGGCCTCAGTCACGGGGTTGGCAGTGAAGAAAGGAAGAAGCGGCCATGTTTTAGGCATTAGTTTTAAAGACGGAGCCAAGAGAGTTTGCTGATAGATTTAATATGGGACTTCCTCAACTGCTTCAGGAAGCGATGAGGACTTCTACCAGGCAAACAATGTAAGGAAACGCGAGTCTGCTCTTACAAGTAGTTACAATAGCATTACAGAACAAATGAGCACATAAATAAAACACAATGTCTTTTTTTTTTTTTTTTTTTTTTTTTTTTTTTTTTT